ACCACTATTGATATCATTACAGTATTATCATCATCCGTCATCATCATCCTCTTCCTATTCGTCATCGTCATCATCATTCTCATTGTTGTCTAATCATCATAATCATCCTTACTGTCATCGATCGTTGTAATCATCACCATCATCATCACATCATACTCATCCATCGTCATTGTCCTCATCTTCATCACGTCCTCATCGATCATCTATCGTCGTTATCATCATCCTCATAATCTTCATCCTCCTCCTCATCCTTCATCCTCCCCCTCATCCTTCATCATTTTCTTCATCATCATACTCATCATCATATTCATCCTCATCCATCATCCTCGTCGTCGTCGTCAATGGTGTAGCCAGCTATTGGCACAGTTTTGAAAGTCCCACACCATTTTTCTAATGGGTCCACATTTTAAAAATTGATCCAATTTATGTAATTTTATGCATAAAATGGATCCAGATTTCTCATATTTAGCTAAAAATGGGTAAAATTTAAGAATATGGGTCCAGATATTTCATATTTTTTTCTGAAAATGGGACCAGTCCACATTGTTTAAATTTACACGTAAAGTGGGTCCACCCTGATATTGTCCCACACCGTTTGAAAATCCTGGCTATGGCATTGATCCTCATCCATCATTGTAACCCTCATCACCATTCTCAACAATCATCGTTATCATCATCACCATCACCACAACCTAAGATGTGTATAAGAGACAGTCACCACAACCTACTAATCATCCTCATCCATCATCATCCTTATCCTCATCATCATCAACCTCATCCTTATCCTCCTTATCATCATCACTCATTCATCATTCATCATCATAGTCCTCATTATCATCATCATCCATCATCATCTTTGTCCTCATCATCATCAACCACATCATCCTCATCCTTATTAATCATCATTATCAATTATCATCCTCATCATGAGAATGATGATGAAGAGGAGAACGACAAGAATGAAAATGAGAATGAGAGGCAGAGGAGATGTTTCTCATTCTTCATCATTAACCTCATCAACATCATTCTTATCAATTATCCTCATCATTATCACGATCATCCTAATCATCATCATCCTTATCTTCATTATCATCAAACTCATCATCCTAATTCTCCTTATTATCATCATCATTATCCTCACCATCCTTATCAGCATCATTTTCTTCCTCATCATCATCCATCATCAATCATCTACCTCATCATCTTCCTTCTCATCATCAACTGCATCACCCTCATCCTCATCATCATTCTTATCTTCATCACCATAATCATAATCATCCTTACCACCCTCATTATTATCGTCATCTTCATCATCTTCCTGATTACTGTCATCATCATCAACATTACCATCATAATTTTCATCATTATCCTCTTCATCATCAGTCACCATCATCATCACGAGGATGATGATGAGGAGGAGGATGACGAGAATGAAGATGAGGATGAGAGGGATGATTCTCATCCTTTATCATCATCAACAATCATTATCATCAATCATATTCACCATCATCTTCTTCCTCACCATCATCCTAATCATCTTTCTTCTCCTCCTCATGATCAACATATTCCTTATAATGGGGATTATAATGAGGATGGGGATGACAATGAGGAAAATGATGATGATGATAATAATAATGACATCAATATATTAAGAATATCAGTACTAACGCTAATATTAATGTGAATTATAAACTATAATTTTTTTGAAACGCATAAGAATAATTGAATAGATTACTATATTAATAATATTATGAAGTAACAACATAATAGTATAATAATGATGATGAAGAAAAATGTAGTGTAAAAAGATTAAATTTAAATAGGTAAATATTTCCTTTAATTTTGATTGTAGTAGTCTTGGAATTTGGTGTGTTGACGTCACCATTCCAAATTTGCTTGGGAGGTGGGGAATTCCCATCAGACAGGCATGATAGACTCCCATTGTCCGATGCCACGACGAGGTTGCCACACCACAAATAATGATTTGCTTATCCATAAAACATTAATTTGGTTGCCAATTCCTAATATTTTGGCTTAAAAGCAAAATTTTGGGCTTAAAAGCAAAATGTTGGGCCATACTAAGCTAAAAAAAAAACTCTCCCATAAGCCCAGAGATTTTTATTCCGGGACTCTGACCGAGGGTCTAGTTGGCTCTGTGTTTGGACCCACCCTATCAGACCCCCCTGGGGCCACAACTGAACGACTATAATGGGTAAGTATTTAACTAAGGTCCTGTCAGTTTTTACAGTTATAGAAAAAAAAAACTGACTGAAAACATAAACATGTTTCCCATACCCCGATTCAAAAATTGGTATTTTAAAGCAAAATTTCAATATTTCGTTTTTTCGTTGGGTTAACTTTGTAGTAGTTCATCAGTTATATATATATCTATAACTGATGAACTACTACAAAGTATATATATATATATATGTTTTATTTTATTCCTGTATGTATAATATTGTATTGAGATTGTATTGTACTTTGATAACAATTAAATTATTTTTACATTAAAAACATAGTTTTTCCCACAATAATGGACGCCATCTTGGAATTTATCATGATGACGTCATCATTGCGATCAAATTTTTTAATGAGACTGATGAGCAATTATATAGCCAAGTTTTTGATACATTTCATATCCACAGTATATGTAAAAGTGACCAAACACATAAAGTTATTTCCCCTACTCCCATTTTAAATAGTTTAAAATAGGGTATTTTAGGCCAAAATTTCAAAGTGCATAAAAAAAAAAAAATGCCCAAGCCCTAGGCATGGGGATTTTTTCTGAGACACTATAGGGTATGTTGATTCAGAAAAACCAAAAATTAATTTTCCCTTACTTTTTTCCCGCTAAAATTCATTTCAGTAGTTTTACCACCAGGCTAGACGACTTCTTAGTGATTTCATTACGTTGTACGCCCTCCTACAGTCGTGCAATCGAAAGCTCCTTATTAGTATTATAATGATAATTAGTATTTGTGGCAAAGACAAGCCAAACCAGCCACTCGTCGCAAAATTCGATTTTGAGTTATTAATACTGGGATAAAAGTAAAATAGAAGCTATAAAATGGTCAAAAAATCATTCAAATCTGACATTTCCTTATGAAGTTACAAGCATTTAAGAATACATCTGTTTAAAGAACAATATATGAGAAATCAGCCTTCAAAGTTTATGATTTCAGGCATTTAATCATTAAAAAGTGTTGTTTTAACATTGAAATTGGGAAAAATAACAGCACAGCATGATGTATAGATACATGAACCTTAGTTTAGTGAAATAAATTAGATTTAAAAAAAATTTACATTCAAGCATGTGTATACACCTTGGTACAACAAAGATAGCATAATTGATGAGATTTGGCATTATAGTAAATTGCAACTGAACCTGATGCAGAGTAACGAGTGTTTTCATTAGCGCCATTGATTCTTGCAGAAGAACGATGCCAGCGTTCAGTAGGCCTACTATTGTCATATGTCCAGTTACACCACCCATAGTCGAAGTCACAGCAAATACCATCTGTTTAAATTGTAAAAATTCTTAAAACATCGTCTAATATATAAAACTAACAGTAACGAAAAACAAGTTAATGTAACACAAGTAAATACAGTGATTTAGTAAGTTATGCATAGACACTTTAAAGTTTAAATACTTGGCCTTAAGACATTATAGAGAATAATTTGTAATTTATATAGGGGAAACTATAATTGATGTCATTGTATATACAAAATAAATTTGTATTTTTTGAATCTCAAATTAATATTAGTTTTTCATAATTATAAAGTAGCATATTAATAGGTGACTCGTTTAATGCAAATTATGTGCTTTTAGACCTAAGAAAATTTACCATAAATCGCTAAAATTTTATTCTACATAAATAGTTAAATATCATTACATTTTATAAATCTAAAATCACACCGGTAAGTGATTTGTTTTTCAAATATTATTGGCTAATGCCATGCGTAGAAATAGTTTATTTATAATATCGATGAATTTGATACCTTATTTGCAGTTTATGTATGTTGACTATGAATTAAAACTCTTAGAAATGGATAACACCAACGTTTAAAAAATGTAACGATTGTGGACTTAGTTTTCCATTTTTTTTTTTTGATGAAACAATTATTAACATTTAAATAACAAAACGTGGTCCCACTCTCCAAACTCTGACTCTTAGTTTTGATAATCACGGCGTATTTAGAAAAGAATTCAATGTGTTTATCTGGGTTCTGTGTATCGACATCTTTTTAAGAATAAAGGTTGCATTTACAGAAGTTTTTATACTCAATAGCCTAGCCCTGCGCAATACAGCATACTAAAGTACTGCCGAGAGTTACTAGTTAAGTGTCACCTTTACCATAAACAGTGCTTACAGGGTCACTAATCTTGGTTAAATTAATTTAATAGATTAAAGATATCAAGGGTTTTAAACGGAACCATGTGACACTTAAAATGCAGTTCTGATTCGAGTTGAACAAATTGCTTACGTTACTATTTTTCATTTAGAAAGTGATACTGTATATTACGATTTACATGCTAAAAACCTTGGGTTAATCTAGAAAATATCTATACAGTAACTAGATCAGTAATTAGATGAATGGTTGCTGTTTTTCCTAAGCCGTATTAGTGATTAGTTAGTATTGTTTTTGTAAAATAGCTGTAAAATCCAGATTAAAAGAGAGAAAGAAAAATTATGTAGGTCCATATTTCATAAATGCACTGTCTGCCAAATAATAATAAATAAAATAGAAAGAAATCGATGGAATCAAGGCAATTCAACAGAAGGACGCACATCTCGGGACATCAAAGGCTATGTTCAGACCTGTGAGATACGCCAGGCGTATCTAACGCCGGGCGTGCGTTAATCCATGGCGTAACTAGCGAGATGTCCAGACCATAGAGCTATTAAACAACTAGAGTGCTGACAAGATGGCGTAGCAATGCAGAGTTATGTATGTGTACCATCCAAGATGGCCGTCGTAGTAAAGCGCCACCTTCAGGCTTAGTATACATATTATTACATATTAATAAGCCCTCTGCCTGACTATTATTTCATTAATGATAATGAGTAATGGTAATAACAAATTATTAAACTATTGTAACCAAAACGAGGCCAAGTGAAGCATCTTATTCAAAAATAAAGTACCAAAGAATGAAAATTAAAATCGTATACATTACACCCAAACACCGCAACGCTCGAGTTTCAAACATACAGGTACTGAATTTTCTGAGTAAATTGAGGGCGCATTTGCAAACGATGACGCTTAGCGAAATTTGATTGGCTAAATCTATGGTAGCCATCTTGGATGGTACACACACACAGTTCTGCGTATTTCGAACATCGAATACATTGCGGTTAGCGCTCTAGTATTCTTATTATACCTCTATGGGGACAACACGTGTGTTTGTAAGACGGCGCGCATTCCTAGCGCTGTTCTGATTGGTCAGTTCTTAAGTTTGATTGACACTCCGGAAAGGTCTATTGCCTTGATTTGGCACAGAAAATAATTAGTTTTGGGAGAGTGTGTCCTAGTCGTTGCCATGGATCTGAGATAGGGTGTTCGCGTTACGCCAAATTTCGTTACCAAGTACGTTATCTTGTTCTAAAGAGAGGGCGCATTGTAAATCGGAAGCTTCTAATTCTTACGCGTAAACGTAAAGTCGCGCGGCGTACGCTATGGTCAGAGCGATCAAGGTTCAAAAGTTTTCAACTTAGCAAGCAGGTTCATACGCTATTACAGAATTAGCGGAGAACGCTATCTTGTATTTATAAGATCTTTGACAACCCTCACAACTTAACTGCCCCCAAATCAAAGATCTTATACTAATAATATATCGTTTTCCGCTATTTTTAGGGTTGTGCACTTTTTGGGAGCGCGTCCTAGTCGTTGCCATGGATCTGAGATAGTT